TGCTTTATATTCATTACGGCAGACTTTTTCCACCCAGGTATTTGTTTTTTCCCATTCTTCCCAATATTTCTGCATCGTTTTTTTTTTTTTTCAGGGGTGTCAGGAATCCAGTTTGTGTGGTCTGTTTTTGTGTTTCCTTTTCTCCTCCACCAGGTGGTGCCCCGTCCTCATTGGGCCTGCCTGCACACCTGCAGCTCGTTGCCTCATTACCCGAGGACTCTTAAGCTGCTGACTGCCACTACCTCGACGCCAGAGTGTTTGCCAGTTTGGGGTACTCTAGCCAAGCTGAGTTTTGCTGAGTCAAACTGAGTTTTTGTCAACCTGAGTTTTAACCTTGCTGTTCTTGTTTTTGCCTCTCGGCAGGAAGTCATCCTGCAAACTGGATGTTTTGGACCTTCTCCCCCCTGGAAGGATTCTCTGAGCACCAAACTGAGCTGAGGATTCAAGTTTTTGGTTTGAATCAACTTTCCCCCCAATGATTGTTTTGGGCTTCTCTCTGAGGAGGGGATTCATCTCCACAATAACCCATTCAAGTACCGCAGGAAAACTAAGTGGCAGTCAGCTTCTCCGTTCACCAAGGAACAACCGCATTCTGGGTAAACCCTGTCCGCCCTCCAATGAACAAGTCCTTCACTGGAACAACCCACACTGACTGGATTCAATAAGAGACACCTTTTTCTGGAAACGTGAGTCTGCAACCTGAATTCCCTTCTTCAATCAAGAAAACACAAATTTCCCACTGAGCCTGAACTAACCGCAGAATCTTCCCTTCACTTTTCACTCCCGGTTCGACAGTGTCCAGAGCAGCACTGTACTCCTGTCTACTTGCTCTAAATAAAACATGTTAAACCTTTCCCTGGTCTCTCTGTTTGGTCTTCTGCACTTGGGTCAGATCTATAGTTAAATCATGACAAGGAGGGGGAGCATCGCTATGCGAAGGTGCACCGCCCCCAAAAGCAGCGTCAGCATTTAAATGACTCCATTCGTCCCCCATACTGCTCTGTTGTCTCCCGCTATCTTCTCCGTGAGCAACCCTCGGATCGACCAATGGGATGAGGGGATTCTGGATCGTTACATATATGCTGTCAGCTCATTTGTCACAATGCAGGAAAGGGACGGGAACAAGTTTACTGTATGTTCTGTATCTAACGTGCCCTTGTTCTTAATTTTCCATTACTTTTTTTTCCTTACTTTTTTTTTTTTACTCTCACAGTAATATGGGACAAATTGCGTTTCTTTTCCACTAAATACAAGACAGGTACTTTTATTTCTAAATACGGAACGATTCCTTTTTTCAAGGGACGGTTGGCAACCCTACACCTTGACGTTTTAGACCAGCAAATGTCTGACGTACGAAAAATCTGGCAAAACACTGGCATACGTTGGTACACTGAAGTATGATAAAACAGGTTGACATACAGTACAGTACGTCGACAAGTTTTGAGCATGCTCAAATTTCCTGCCCTATACCAGCGTAGGTATGTTGGTCTGATGGGGTATGCTCATCTGACAGGACATCAGTGCCCATCTCTGGCAGTCTATGGGCGAGAGGCGGGGTCCACCCTGGACAGGTCTCCAGTCCATTACAGAGCAACACAGAGACAAACAGGACAAACAACCATTCACACTCCCACCTAAGGAGAATTTAAGGCCAAACGACCCCCATTCCAAAGGGGGGGACCCGTTCATCCGTTTCTATTTGAATGTTTTCTAAACTAAAACCAGGCTTTGTTGGTCTGCTGTATAAAACCTGGAACTAAACGCTATTTCTGACTTTTTGAACTGAAAAGTTTCCTGGATGGAAGAGAAACGTCTTCAAACTTGGAAACAAAGTCTAGTGGATTGTTTTTTTTACCTTTTTGGAATGACTATAACCTGGATGACTGAGAATCTTAACCAACCTTAAATGTGTTCATGAACTGCAGAAGCTCCAAGACTTTATGGTGTTTTAACACAATGATGGTCTTTAAATCGGTTTAATTTTCATCTCCTTCAGAAAGAGGAGTTTTTAGAAACCTCTTTTCTTCTCTAAAGTCTTTCTTCCAAACCAACTTGTTACTATTGTTTAAATCCAAACAGAAAACAGGAAACTTCCCCAAACGGCCGTCCTATGAAAGCAGTGCAAAGCTTTGAGCACATCAATGAACAACACAACCTGCTGTTAATCTGCAGCTTCAATAGGCGGTTGGCAGGCCTGAGAATGGAGGGATCAGTCTGAAGGAGAGGCAGAAAGAGGCAGGAGACGTTTCTTCAGGTCTCAACAACACCTGCGGCGGTCCAGACAAGCCAGAACCGATTTGATCAACAGCAGAATTATGAGTCACTGAAAGCAACCTGAGGTTTTGTTGATGGAGCTTTAAAAACAGACCTGCAGCTGACCTGGATTACAGCCGTCTGCTGCGCTTCTAGAAACATGAAACGTCTCGTTGTTTTGAGAGAACCCGTCGTTCAATAAACTTCACCGTCAACCCTGCTCTGGTGTTCCCACAGCATGGCGATCAGAGCCCAGGTTATTTTAACCCGGGTTGCTGCCGAGTCGTTTCACCTGGGCACACATACGTCAGTGAGCTGTTCCCCTGCCCCTAAAAGCTCATTGTTCACGGGTATTACTGAGGTCTGTAGAGTCTAAGATGGAGCTCTTATGTCTTTTCTCTGTGCTCAGACCTTGGGCTGATTTTGTGGGGATATTCTGAGCAGTTGGGTGGTTGTCTTAATTTCCCCCTCTAAACACCAGATAGCATTTAGACGTTTGTTTTTAGGCTAATTCTGGTCGGTCCGACAAAGTCTCGATTTGAAATTCAGGCTGTTTTGGGTCACTCTGATTTAGTCCCATTTTAGTCCTATGAAAGATATTATAAAATTATTTTCCTAAGTATTTTCAACGATTGGGAAAAATAAGGCTTTTCATGTTTTAAACTAAAAGTAGGCCTCATTTGGATGTAAATGTTATGGTTCTTCCCATTTGTTATGATTCTGAGTTTTCAGTTTTCTGTTATCAGTTGTTTTGTTTTTATTTTCCATGATATTCAAGCATTCTTTAGTTACTCTCTGTTGCCCCCTTGTGCTTGTTTTCTTTCCCCTTGGATTCCCTCTTGCCAGTTCCACCCACACCTGCTCCCCATTCAGCTCCTTAGTCCATCCTTTGTTCTGTTCTCCTTAAATACTCTACCTCTGCAATCACTCAGTGCTGGTTCCTTCTCAATGCTGTACTCGTCTACTCAACTCATCTCTCAGTGGCTCCTCAGGCTCGTTTTTCCCCTGATGTCTCCATGGTTTTTGGTTTGTTCAACTTTTTCGTTGGATTTCTGGATTTGTACCTCTGTTTCCTTTGTGCTTCAATTAAACCTGTCAGAACTAATATCTGCTTCACTCGGCTCTGCATCTGGGTCCTTAAGCAACCTTACCACCCATTGTTGGCAGTAAATCATGTCGTCTTTACAAATAATTTTTGCTAAGTGGGGTTCTCCTCTCAGAAATAACCTTTCTCTAATATTGATTATGACTTTTTAACTTGTCCTTGATTAGCAGCAATTGCTGATGTTTTTTCCTACATTGTAAGACTTTTATGAAGGCTGCCACTCTGTTTAAACTCAGTTAATCCGTGCATTTGGTGCTGATTAAATCATCCTAAAGGATGTTTTAGTTTTTCAAAGTGTTTTATTTGTTCCTTTTTTAATAGAGTTTAAAACTGCAAATAATGAGAAACTTGAGGTTGTATTAGACTTGTTCTGGAAATGCCACGCTTCCTCCGATCGTACATAAAGTATTAAACAAACAACAACCGAATAACAAGTGGAGACAAAGCATAATGTGAACTTTTATGGCTGAAGCATAGCGTTGCAAGAGAGAATGTAAACCATCAGAGTTTAAACAATTTCTCCTCCCATGTGTTTGTGCATCGGCCACTTAAAACATCTGAGAGAAATTAGATAAGAAAACTAACAAAGTGGAAACCAAAGAAAAAAAAATCAAGATTTATGGACACCAAAGACAATTAGGGGAAACTTTACAGAGAGGATGAAGCATCTCGGAAAATTACGAAGCAGAAGGAACGAGGAAAATCCATTTGAATCCGGTGATAAATGAGGAAAAGATATCGGCATTCAGACGGATGGAGTGGAAATGGGAAGAAGGTAGCCAAAGAAAATTAAAATGCGAAGCAGAAAATGCCGGAGCTGCTCTGAGAAAACAGCATCTTGTTATCCGTGTCGCCCCACAGCACAGCAGCAGATGCTCCAGCAGATAAACAGCATCCATTAGGAGCTATTGACCCAGAGTTTATCTCCATTTACAGGATCCTCTGAGCTACGAGGGGCAGCAGGACTACGACTGTCGTCCAAGCCAAGAGCAGAGAGATTACTGCTTAAAGTTCATCAGATCAGAAAAACCTCTTTGCATATTTTAATGATTCCTGTAGCTCTGCAACATTCCTGCGCTTTACAGATTTCAGAATCTGAACGTTCCCAGACCTGCTTCTAAAATGTAGAAAAACAACTTGCAAACTGCAACTATTCATAGATCATGATAGATATTGTCCTAAACAAAAGTATTTTAGTGCCAGTTTATTGCAAGTGGTTTCCTTTTATAGTACGTCAAGGTATTTAGTTTCTTATCACTTACATTTCACAAAGCTACATGTGAAGGTGTGTAAAAACCTGCAGAGTGGGTCCAAAGGTAGAAAGAGACCTGCAGGCGATGGATCAAAAACAAATACCAAGAACAAACCTAAAACTATCCACTGAGGCCAGTCAGGAAGCCAATATCTTCTGCACTGCAGCACAGCTGATGTATTTTACGGATATGTGCATTGAGACGTAAAATCCCAAAAATTCTAAAACTGTATTTATCTTTTTCTTGAAACCAACTCCTTGTGCAACAGCTTGTAAATCTGAGACATCACTGCCACAGATTTACCAGAAACATTTAAAATATCAACCAAAACATGAAGTGCCTCCCAATATAACGTCAGGAAATGTTTGGAAGTCACTGATCTGACTTACCAGCCGCTGCAGGATCCTCTTGCTCTTGTCATCGGTGCAGTAGTCGGACAGAATCCTCCTGTGCACCAGAACCAGACCGTTCAGGAACAGCCAAGACCCAAACCAGAGCAGAGCAAAGAGCAGCGTCCCCCGCCGGGACCATAGCCGGAGCCCAAGCCACCTGAGGATGCAGAGTCCGCTCCCACGGCCTCCTCCGCTTGATCCTGGTCCTCCAGGAAGCATGATGATTGATGGTAGAGATGGAAAAAGCTCAAACCAAACCCTGATGGTGCTGATCAGGTTATGTAACTTCAGATGAAGTGAATATTCCCTTATTAAATCAAGAAGAGCTCAGGGAAAATTTAAAATCTACTTTTCCAGCTTTGATATAAATAAACGTATCAACTGCATATTGTGTGATTTCAATGTGTGTTTTCATCTCCTGATGATGTCCACAATGTTCTGTCTCCAAATGATAGCATAAATAAATATGTTTCCTTACTCGCTTTCTGATATTTAACACCAGAAGTTGTTTTTTCATCAAAGTTAATTTTCAGTCAGTGTTTCCTTTAAATACAGAATCTGTAGCTCGGTCTGGTCACCAAGGAATGACGGCGAAATATGAGTCCATGATGGGAGAAGAACGTATGAGCTGATAGAATATCCCAGACATTTGCTCATTAAAGGAGACCTGAAAAGAAAAAAAAACACAATATTTTCCTCAAACTAAAGACTTCTTTACTTTTTAAATGTTTCATATTTACTTTATAAAAGATTTTTCATCTCAAATACAATTTAGACCTTTGAAAGTCTACGGCAGGTTTAGCGAATGATTCTGTTTCTCCTGTTGAGGCTTCATCTTTCCTCAAAAGGAGCAGTTTTAAAAAGCCTGCTGGTTTGTTTTCCTGCTTCTTCTTGATCCTGAAATTGGGTCATTTATCGTTCATTACTGCCTGATGTTTTGCCGCCGCTCTGACTGAAGTAGCAGAACATTTAACTGGGGCAGAAAAACAAACCGCAGTGGAGAAGCACTGGAGAACCGCCAGAAACGAGAAGACTTAACCTAACTTTGAAGATTATTTAGGAAGAAAGAAACCAAGAGGCCGCCGTTCATCTTCGGCCATCTGGCTCCTAAAATATCCACATTTGGTTTAATGTTGAAGTGTCTGGGGGGGGCTTGGGGTGGGTTGACATGGCAGCTGCTCTGTAATAGCTCCTCGGACATTAAGCTGTTCATAAGCAGCAGGTTTGCAGAAATTACCTTTAAATTGTCGTCAAAGTTTCCATTTACACATCATGAAATCATTTATTCTGGATAAATGTTTTATTGTTTATTCTCAGTACTGGAGTTTATTTTCTCTTTGTAAAATTGAAACTTATTTCTAAGTTAGATAATATAGTTCTAGCATGAAGAAAATACATATCTACTGGTTATATTATACTAAATATTTTATATTTATATTTATATTTTTTTTATGTTCAGAAGCACAAAATTATCAGGTGATAGAATTTTGCTTCATAACTTAAAAAACTTCATGCTTTTTCTTTTACAGTATTTACTTCTTTTAGATACTGTATTTAAATTTTATATTTAAACTTTTTTTAAATTCCTGCCAGAGTTTAATCTTTGGTTTTCTAGTCTAGATTTGCAAATATGCAGAACAGACACAGATCTACCTCAGTGGAAACACTAAAGAAAACTCCTTTCATTTTTCATTTTATAATTTCTATGAGAATGTTGCCGTCTCCAGTTCTTTAGGGGGAAAAGATTAAGTTTTCCTGTTTCTAAAGGCCGAAGCAGCGTCAGAGAGATGAAACGACGGCTGGAAGAATTATAGTTTATAAATCCATTAACTAAAAAATGGAACAAAGGAGCCAGAAAAGAGGAGGTTTGGATCTGGGTTGAAAATGAAATGAAAAAGGCAAACAGAGCAAATTTAACTTTACGATTTTAAAGTTTTCCAATATCAGCAGCAAAACCAAAATATTTTGGTTCTGGATGTTTTTATCTAGTTTTTGTTCATCCAGTGTTTTTCTCTGACAGTTTCTCTTTAATTGTGATTTTCGACAAATTTCTAGTTTTTAATTTTTACAGATTTTGAACCATTAATCTTTTTTTTTAGCTCCTTTTGCATGAAGTATTATTCCTTTGTTATTGTTTTAGACGTTTGGGGATTTTTTTCTGTCTGGGTTCAGCTAAAGGAACATTTAAACTTTTTCTGTTTTTTACAGTCTGCTTTGATGTTTTTTTTTTCCTTCTTTGGGGTTAATTTATTGACTCTGATGCTAGAAGTTATAAAGTTTTTTTTTCTTTCTGCAGGACTGCACCGTATCTGGATTCCTACAGATGTTGCTCAGATACCAATAATCCTGCAGATGTGTCCCAGAATAATCCCAGGTTCTTTATTCTAGTCTAACAAAGGGAATTTAATGTCCTCATCTGATTATTAGGAATTTCTTTTCCTATAAGAAGCAGAAAAAGAAAAAGTTTGAAGCTATTGTTGATGTTTCAGAAGTGACATCATTTTGTTTAAAGTTTTAGTTTGAAAATATTATGAAAAATAATTGGTTATTTTTCTTACCTTGCTGCGAATGTGAATTAGTTTTTTCCTGAGCAGAAACGTCCACCATCAGAAAGGTTAAATCCTGGTTTTTAAAGCTTTGCCTCCAATAAATGGAACATTTTTACTTTTCTGATGGATCCTGAAGGAAAATCCAGATTCAAGCTTTTTTCCTCAGAGTTTAAAAGATGCTGTAAACTTTGCATGAAGGTTTTCCTCATGTTTCCTTAAACTTCTGATGATTCCACAGATGATTGTTTGCTTCTCCTCTTTCAGGTAGAAACCTTAAGCTGCCAGTGGTTCAGGGATGATCAGACTCTGTGGATTAGGGAAAAACTCCTGGAAGATCATTCTGAAAGTTTGGTTTGTCTCTTAGATCAGGACTGAACTCTGCAGCAGCAGGAACTCAACCAAACTTCAGCTCCAGATCTCTGAGGAACATCTCATCTGGCTGTTCTTGGAGCTCCTAATTGCTCCTCATCTTTCATGGTGATTTCTCCCTCTGACTTGGGAGCGCTCCGGCTGTAATCCAATCCCGGCTAAATCCTGGAGGAGCAGGTCTCCTCACATGGAGGGAGATGCTGCTGGGGAATAAACGGAGACCTTTTCCCAAGCAGGAGAAGATCCAGCTTTCTACTCCCAGGATCCCAGCAGAAGTGTAAACCCTGTTTCTGGACTGCCAGGCAGCCTCGGAGGCTCCAGGCGAAGTGTGGTGTTCCAGCAGCTCCTGTTTCTCCTCCTCCTGTTCTGACGCTCCACTCAGAGAAGGAGAGTGTGTGTGAGGGAGGTGTGTGTGTGTGTGTGTGTGTGTCTCGCTCAGGCTTGTTCTGCAGCCTCATTCCTGCCTCCCTCTTTGCTTCTTTACTCACTGTTTGCTTTACTGTTGCAGCAATAAAACTCTAGTTAACTCCCCAGTTCTATGTGATTCTTTCTCCCCTGCAGAAAGAAAAAAACAGCCTGCATGAAGTTTTCAGTTAACTGCATGTTTTTGCATGAATAAAAAGGCACCCCCTCCTCTTAACTGCTCTACCCCCTTGTTATAACCCCCGTTACCATGGCAGCAACTTTCACAGAGCCTCTCCAATGATTGGTCTTTGTTCCACATATAACCTGCACATCAATAAGGTTTAGAGGCTTACGCTGTAATGTAAACCTGAGCGCCAATAAAGTTGTGCAGACGTCAGCAGAGGAAAGTCCATGAGAACTTTGATGCCTTTAGGCCTGGAAAAGCTCTGAGGTTTTTAAAACCTGATGAGTGAGCGGGGAGAGGTGAAATAATGAGGCTGACACAGATATTAAAGAATAATTTAAAGTTTTATCCACTAGAGGGCAAAAAAACAAACAACAAATAAAAAGACAAAGAGCAGCTTAGCATGAAAAACAGATCAATCAAATTAATTAACTGAGCTTTTATGTTCTTGGTCCTGATAGAATAGAATAGAATAGAATAGAATAGAATAGAATAGAATAGAATAGAATAGAATAGAATAGAATAGAATAGAATAGAGTAGAATAGAATAAAATAGAATAGAGTAGAACAGAATAGAATAGAATAGAATAAAATAGAATAGAGTAGAAAAGAGTAGAGTAGAACAGAATAAAATCCATTTATTGTCCTACAATGGGGAAATTCTGGTGTTTACAGCAAAAGATTATAGAAAATAATGATCACACACATGAGGACCTCAGAAGGTTGAATAAATAAAGCAGGAAGTCAACGTTATGTCTGAAGAGCTGACATGTTGGGAACCTAAGAGAAGAGACTTTGCAAAAATCAGAACATGGAACAGGAATCCATATCAATACAATAAAAATGCAGAAATGATGCGATCATACTGATCAATGCTAGGTTGTGCAGGTCTTTGTTGGGTTTGAAGAATTGTGAACGTAGTTTAAGAAGTATTGCTGATTTGGTTCTGGATATAAAGTGGATCTTAAAAGGATTCATGACTATTTGCTGAAATGTTGCACTAAGTACGCCATTTTTTCCAATGGTGCAATGCATGCTGGGTAGATGACTGGAACCTACAGAGTAAGCACAGGATGGCTGACATTAGCAGGGTTGATATTTAATACCCGAATTGGAATGCCGTGTTATGATATGTAATCTAGTGATGGTGAGAAAACGCCTCAAGAGACGTTGAACCTTTTGGGCAAATTGCTTCAACGAAACACACAGAACCGTGAATCAGTTATGTGGACATACTGTGATCTATTCTCTAAAAAGCTCTTGATCAAAGAAAGAGCCACACCCCTAATCCCCTACAGTAGTAGCTATTCAAAATTTCGACACTTTCCTTGGCTGGTCCCCTACAATTGCTTTATAAACTTAAATCTTTACCAATATACTCTTTCTGTCTGATTTGTGGACATTAAGATCTAAAGCGAAGCGCCATCTCCTGGTCAGACCCTGTAATTCAGTGAAAGGGTGGAGTCAGAGTGAAAAAAATATCCAAGAGGGGGTCACTGCAGTGGCTGGAAGTTGGAGGGGATTTCGCTCGGAGTTGGAGGGATTGGCATTTGACTGGGAAGGGCCATTTTGAATGGCTGCTACTGTACACATCGTTTTATGTAATAACTCATGATTGATGGTATCAAAAGCTTTAGTTAGGTCAAAGAACACCCAATGAATATAGTGTATTGTTTGCTAATGGCCAGTTATCAGTGGTTATCAATGGTCTGTTATGTAAAGGCAAACCAGTGCCAGAGGTCACATCAGGTCTAAACCCATTTTGCTGCCAAGAGAATGTTCTGTTTTGCTATGAAATTAAATAATCTTTTATGAAATATCTTTTTACAATATTTTGGAAAATTGAGATAAAAGGGAGATCGACCTGTAATTAGAAACGCCATATTTGTCCTCTGCCTTCCCAAAAAGAGAAAATTAAAAACAATCCATTGGACTTTGTTTCCAATTTTGAAGATGTTTCGCTTCCCATCCAAGAAGGTTTTTTCAAATCAAAATGTCAGAAATAACGTTGAGGTCAAGGTTTTGATAAGCAAGGTGCCCTATTTGTTGGTACTCGCAATACTACCATGTTAGTGCTGGATCGGGGCGAGCATGTGAATCACTAACCTGGTTCTCAGTTCAGTCTGTGTCCAGAGGAAGGTGTGGGAACCAATCAGAGGAGTTCTCCACAACATGCGGCGGGAGTCGTCCAGAGCGTTCCAGTGGCAAGGCAGAGCAGACTGTAGATTAGAAGCCAGTTGACGCTGTAGAGGAGAAGGGTCCAGAGGCAGAATCCAGAGCAGGTAATGAAGCAGGGGTCCAAACCAGAACATCCAAGAGACACAGAGGTACCCAAGGGATTATCTAACCCAAGCTCAGGGGATAGATCCAAGGTAACTAACAGGCAGCTGAGTCCAAACTGCAGTCCAAACACAAGAAACAGACCGGAACAGAGGCAAGCCAAAAACTCAGGAATCTAGAGGTAGAAACAGGTCAAGATCAAGTCATCACAAAACACAACAGGGTACGCTAGATCCTTCTCACACGGCATGCTCGAATAATCTGGCACTGATGGCTGGAAACAGGCAGCATGAATAGGAGCTGGAACAGGTGGATCAGATGAGGGCAGATGAAAACTCGGCGGAGCTAATCAGGTGGAAGGAATGAAACTAATGATCCAGTCATCAGTGTCAAGATCATGATATATTCAGCTTTTAAACATCTCATGCGTGCACTCGCTCAAAACCTGAATCCCGCTCAACTCAATATCCTCATGCTCGGTTCCATCTCTGCATGCACTAAACAGCTGTTTCTCTACTCGCTTGACTCTGTCTCTTCTCTTGGGACTTCATAAATGTATGGAAATGAACCTCACCATCAACTAATCACGCGCCACTTTTCAACCATTGAAAGCACTTGTTCCAAATGCCACATGTGGTTTAAAGAAAAACTTCAGCTTTAGCAGGCGCCATACAAGAATTGAGTGTGCGCGTGTGATGTTTAAATGCTGAATGCCCATCTCACGCCATACTTTTCTGCTATCTTTCAAAGTTAGGGGCAGCAAGCTGTTGCCTTGTCTCCCCGCTCTAGTATGCTGATTCCCGGGACAGCTCCTTAGAATTCTGGCAGTCTGGTCCTGGTTCTCTGCCAGTTTTAGAACATAATAGAATAGAATGGAATGGAGTAGAAAATCCCTTTATTGTCCCACAATTCTGGTGTTTACCGCGGCAAAAAGAGTACAGAAGAAATGGTCACACAATGTGGACCTTAGAAAAATGTATACAAATAAAATAATAGTGAAGAGTTAAAAGATAAACAATAAAATACTGTAAAGTGTTTTAACAATATAAAACTGGAGAATAAATAACCAATATCCAGCTATGGACATTTGCTGGGAGGAAGGATCTGTGATAACGCTGCCTGGTGCGTTTAAAGTGCAGCAGTCTGTCACTGAAGGAGCTCTCCAGTTCAGCACCACCTTCATGCATGGGGTGGGGAGACATTATCCAGCAGGGAAGTTAATTTAGTTAGGATCCGTCTGTTTCCCACCTCCTGCACTTGTAAATCAATGTCTGCCATGATGAGGTGAAAGCAATTATGACCACACTTCATCACATAGGGCTCTTTCACCTGCCAGCTGAAGTGCTTTCATGGCCAGATAAATTTTAACGGGCAGCAAAAACAGACGAAGCTGGTGAAATTTTGGCAGGTTTCAGGTTCGATGTGAGCGCACCTTTAGAGGTGAAATCAGACTAATCATACTCAGCATCTTGCAGGAACAGAATCAGCTTTGTTTTGACACAGAAGCAGTTGATTGTCGTTGTTCTGAATGTTCTGAAACAAAGCAGCTTCATCTTTTGAAGCTTCTCTGACCCCCGACGGCCGATTAAACCCTGCAGCTCGTCTCTGCAACCAAAGCCCTAGTTAACATCCTTCCCCCCCTCCTGTGTTATACACTTTCATCCCTGCACCCTCGTTGGCGGCAGCCAATTATCTGGGCTCGCTCATTAGACGACCCTTTCTGCCTCCGAGGTTAAAGAACTTAGACGCTCTGCAGAGATGCTGACCTGGGCTTTATGGGCAGCTGCCATTAGGACACAGTCGGGCTCAGGCTTATTCCTATTGTTAAAACAGAAACACCCCACAATACTCACTAATAGACAGGAGAATCTATGAAGGATGATTTAGTTTCAACAGTTCAATCCAAAAAGTTTAACCTTTAGACATGGACTAATAGATACCCATTGTTCCTTGCTGCTCTTTGGAAACCAAATAAATCAGCTTCTCAGGAAATTAGAATATGCCATAAAATTGATAAACGTGATTTAATTCAGAAACATTTTGCTGCAGAAAACTACATCCATATACTGCTCTCAGAATACTGGATGAGATCAGCCTGTGGTCCTGCTGAGGCGTTTAGAAAACCCACTTTTTATTAATAGTGATTTTAAGGAGGTGATCCTATTGGAACCTTTAGCAGTGTAGGCCAGTGTCATGTCCTAATGAATAAAAAATATACCCTCCCAATAATGGAAAGATGAGAAATTCCTTTATTCTTTTTTACTTTGCTTTGCAAAATTTTAGTAAGAACACAACAATTAAGTAATAAATTTAACCTTGCAGAAGACATGTTCTGAATCCTAAAACAGATCAAACATTTTGGCATTTAAGAGGAAGAATAACAGGAGTGTCTGGAGTAAATGGCTGTTTTAAAGTGTTTTTAAGTAGCAAGTATTTAAATATCTTTTATTAATTTCATTTTGTTTGCTTTGTTTTGATTAAAGCCAGGCTTGGGATTCCTGTTTGATAAAGCTTCTAGTCAGAGT